CCCGAGAAAAAGAAGCCAAGAGCGAGCACATCAAGGCATCAAATATTTGATGGTTTCTCTCCATAAAATTAGGTCCAAAAGAGTGCCCACCTGGGTTTCTCTGAGAAATCCAAGAGTCATTCATGCCGTAGGTGCCGAGGTACCTAGAATTCAGCACATTAGCACAGGTAGACCCAAGTGACCACGCTCACTGATGCCAGCAAAGCTCTCCGGAGAGGACGAGAAATGATGAACACGAGACTAACGAGACATCATCCTGCAACATTCTTGGCTGGGTTCCTGCGAGGACAACTGAGCTCGTTGGTGTGAAACAGAAGAGGGGCTAGATCCTATCGTGTAGCAGGATTTCTCCTTCTCTACGGGCAATAAAAGAAAAATGTCTACTGGGATTAAACGGTTTGAATTAGGGGAAGAGAAACTCCCCGACATCCCCTTTGCTTTCTCAGCCATTAGCATCATCTGACACCACGCTGTTCACATGTTTTTTTGCCTGGTTGGTTCACACATGGGACCTCTCTCCCCACCAATAAAATCTCCATGCATCCTGAAGGATCTAGATTCTGATCCAACACTTCTTGAGATGCCTTTGTTCATCTCTTGTAATGAGGTAGACCTTCATCAGGAAAGGGGTTCAGCCAAAATGCCCATCTTAGACGGCTTCCTTCCTCCTCTTCATGCTCGGGGAGACATTTCCATTCTTTTACTTAGCAAGCGTGCAGTACACCTGCTATGAGCCAGGCACTACTCCAGCTGCTCAGGACGCCAAGACGAAGACACCATGGGCCCTGCCGCCAAGGAAGTCTCTTTTGGGTCGTTCATGTGGCTGTCTCATTTCCTGCCTCATGAGCCCCGCTCCACCCCGTTCTCTATTTTAATAAGAAGGGGACTCTCAGAGTAGGTCCTAGGGATGTGACTTACGTCTGTGTGCGTGTGTAGCGTGGCGGTCCTTAGAGCAAACATGTCTGATGGGAACATACAGAAGAAACAAATCTGGATATCTGGCTTTTT